AAACAGCTGCTTATGGTCAAAAATGTGACTTGCTGTCACCTAGAGTTCTAGTTAATAACTTGTGTAACACTTCCAAGATGTACTTTTGTCTGCTCCAAAGTAAGTCATCATTTACATAACCAGTTTATATTAGAATATAACGTGAGGCTATTGGCAACTCTTTAAACCTCACAGTTCTGTTACTGCACCTGGTCTCTGGCTGGAACACTGGACTGAATGATGGCATTCAAACTGATAACTTCATATCACCTTTTGGCTATGCAAACAAAGGCATTGTGTTTTCATATGCTCCTAGTGTCTCACGTAAGATATTTTCTATGCCACAGAGACTAAAAACTTTTTATGAAAAGCTGAAGAAGGGATTTAGATGAAGGTAAGAAGTGGAATAGAGCTATTTGAGAAATATTACAAGGCTTCAACCATTCCCCACATATGAGCAGAAACAAAAGTAATGAATAGGAGAAGAAGACTCTCTCTATGCTCAGTTCTAAGTTAGTGTGACTAACATGGATAACATGTTCAAATAAAAGGATGGTGCTATAATTTAATTAGATATTTTGTCATTGTTGTTATGTTACATGAGAAGCTGCACAGATATTAGACTATGTTGTAGCAAATGCTTAAGGTTAATGCGATTCATGGTGCTTTGGGGTTTAGTTTGTTTTGTCTCTTTATGTGGTCCTGTGATAGGCTGGGCAACTGTCCTCCTGTACCATGTCTTTGCCTGATAACTGCTGCAATTGGCGCTAGCTTTGGATGGATTGATAGTTGACTGGATAATGCGTTTACACAATAGTTTGATTGATGGGTCAGATCTATATATGTGCTCCAACTGTACTTGTAATAGTGTGCTTCTCTCCCAGAATTCATAAAAACCAAGCACACTGGCAGTGTGCAATAATGCTAACAAGACAGGAGTGTTCTGTGTTTTTTATTTGTATTGGAATAGAGAGAGATGACACGTGTTGGAACAGCATAGAATTATTGTCTGCCATGTAAGTCCCTAGTCCAGTTCACCTAGCCCTGAAATGCCTAAATATAGGGACTATTGTGTCAGAATATCCAAAATAATAATAAAAAAACACGATGAAGAGAAATGATGTTTGTGAATCTCCGGAATTTTTAAACACCACACTGTTGCGCCAACGTTCTGTTAATTGCTGTGACATATAAGGCTGGCTGACGTCAGAGAGTCGAGTAATGGCTCGGCTTCAAGTGTTTGAGAGCTTGGCTTCCGATATTCAGAAAATATATGAGCAGCATCTCTTGTATCAACATTTTATCACTATAAATTACTGGTTTGGTTAATTCTTAGTGCACTTTACTTATAAACTTTGTGTGGAGGAGTGTGAGTAAGCATTACCAGGTAAGTGGTTCCAGAACAGCCCACCAGTGTGTGTGTGTGACTGTGCCAAGATAAGGTTACAAAGTGACGTGAATCGTGCGTAACTGGCAGAGAACACACTTATAAATTGTAGAATGAGCATTTGTCTTAATAGATCAACAACAGCAGTAAAATAAATCAACTAGATGAATGGAGTTTCTTTCCATGAAGAACAGAAACATCTGCTTTAATCAGGCAATACGAACAACTTTAAATCACACATATTGGCTTCATAACTAAAATTATGAGTTTTGGGTCATTGAAACTTTAAAGGTTTCTGGGACTTAGGTTCACACTATTGTTAGATATGACAGAGTTTAATAATAAGTAATGGTTATCATGGGTGTAGGTCAACAAGACAGGCACCACCACCAAAACTGCAATTCATGTTACACTGAAGTAAAATTTGATACCTGCTTGCTAATGTTCTTACTTCAACATAATTTCAAAAGGACCACACATGCGACATTGATAGTTAAATATATTCTAAGCTAACTTGCTAACAGCTAACATTGATGGCCCTATATTTACTGTAAAACTAGGAACTTAGCACATACTGTAAATACAAATTTATACATAATTAGTTGACACTTAAATGATACATTTTTGATAAATGTCTGTTTGTTCACGTGACATCCTTCTGCCTATCTTTCATCAATCTGTCCTTAGAAAACCTTTAGCTTTGTTACACTTAGGACATGCCTGTTGTGTTTTCTTTTACTATGTAATGAAGAATTTGTGGTTCACCTATTAAAGGATGCTTAGTTGAAATCCATTGTCCTATAAGAAGAAAAACTCACAAGCAGACCATCAAAGAGCTTAATAAAAGAAAACTGCCGTAGTCGTTTTATAGCTACACCACACACACTGTGTAGCATGCACCCACGTGCCGTGTTTAGAAACTAGTTTGTTCTTGTTATTTCTGCTTTCAGTAAATATATAAATAAATGAACCTGACTCTGGTTTCCATCCTCTTGCCTTTGTAACGGGCTGTTCAAATTAGCATGTTACTTCTCAGGCCTGGCTTCTATTATCCCACTGATGGGGTTCTTTATAGCTATCAGGGGGGTTGTATGTGAAAGCACGGCTTGCTTTAATACAAGAGTGCAGCCTCGTGGAATGTGAGGAATTCTGTCATTTATTTTCATCTGTGGCTGAAAATTACAACGTGGAACATGTGATTTCAATTAGATGGGCTGTAAAGACACGCAGATACGTAACAGTCAGACTTACTGGTGCTTGACCATTATCAGTGACCAGGCTGTATCTGGAAACCATCCACAGGTGAAGAAAGAAACACATGGAACCATCTTTTAGCTGCCTTCTTCATTAATACACCCAAGAGCCTCACTTCTAAGTCATTTTTCTGACGGGGTCCTAGTTGTTGACAGCAGGCCACAGGCACTTGGCCACTGAGGATCTGGCGTCATTATCATAGCCCTTCATCCTGCTGTTTGCCTCTGGTGTGCTTTAAATCAAAACACTGTGACACAATGGCTGCATATGACATTGTTTAAATAGTTTGCTGAGTCAGGGCATTTGAGAGCAGAATTTTGAAATCCAGTTAAACAAAAAGAATGAAATGAGCCAGGCTGCTTTACAGCAAAATGTGTATGTTAAATACAGACTTACTTAGTAGACAAGCAGAAGTAGAGTTTTGGTAACTAATATGCTGATTGTAATGCACAATGCTTTAGGAGATAGTCATTAGTACCACCTCAACTTACCTGCAGTAAACAGCTGCAATAATTAGGTGTTGGCACGTCACTGTATGCAGTAGAATCCTATAAAAAGTTAATGTTTCAACAGTGTAACAAAAAAACACCTATAAAATCTTTGGAGCTTATTCATTAAAATTAGTCCATAGGAACTTGGCACCAATTAAAATTTAAATCACTTTTAAAATTTAATCAGTGACATAGTAATGGTTGACAACAATATTCTGTAACTACAAAAGTCTCTCGTATTAATTTTAACACTGTATCCCAGCATGGTCCACTCCTAATATTTTCTCTCAAATTCCCTGAATTACATGCACACACCGTTTTGTTGTTGTATGCACCACAATTGATAGAGCACTTTCTGGATACAGCCTGCGCACGTCTTTGTCGTTGGCTCTGCCAGAACGTGACTAATTGCAGTTGTTAAAGGCTACAATTATTCACCCTTTTGGCCTACTGTAGCCTGAAATAATATTGATTACAACAAAATACATGGAATGCTAAAACACAAGTTTTTCAGTTGTCAATAAGGAAAAAAAATCCAGATTGTTGCAAACTCCTGTCAGTCGTGCCAAGATCAGTGCTGGCTGCTGTGGAGAACAGTCTGGAGTCTGTTCCCTCTATTTGTTCATGTCACATCCATTTGAACTTAAAGTTGTCATTTGTCCATACTTATAAATTATAGATGTCTCTAAAAAAATGCTCTTGGATATTCTTGCTAATGCTAGAATATAGCAATATGGTGTTAAATATTGGCTTTGGTTAATGGTTTTAAGTTGAAAAGTAAATTTAAATTTAAAACAAATACATTATTTAAACTCATCTTTATTTAGTATACAAAAATAATGAAGACAAACATTTCTGGTTTGGTTTCTGGTTTGGTGTCAACAGATGTACTGTTACAGCTCTAATGCCTTGTATACATTCTGTGTTGGTCTGAGTCTGGATTTTGTTTGGGTTAAACAGTGAAGGAAGATTTTTTTTTTCTCATAGGTTTGATTTATTCTTGTTGTCAGAACATTATCACTAAAATGAATGTCCTTACCCTGAGTGATCTGTTTTGTGTCAGTCCAGTCATTTCTACATCTTACACATAAGAACACATTCCTCTTCTAACATCCTGACTGAGTCTTCCCAGGATTACCTGGACCTTCTGTCCCTATTGGTTGTCTGATGATTTTTTTTAGGAAACAATACATCATTTTACATTTGTTAAATGTAGTGTTACCATTTTAACAGCTAGCTCTTGAATAAACTCTGCTAGTAGGCATAGAAACATATTTAATATATTGTTCACATGGTTTTTCAAAGAAACTTGTCGGTAAAGTTTTGCCATTTAAATTCACTAAAAAAACTTGTCCATGTTTAATGTTATTGTTGTATTACTATCGAATGAGATATGTATTTTTTTGTTTTGTTTTTTGTTTTCATTATTAAACCAGTTTGAATTATTTTTTGCCAAGACAACATCACGACTAGAAAGTCTTCTTACAGCAGCGGCAGAATCATAGCAACACAGAGTTATCTTTTGAGCAGAGGCAAGATGAGCAATAAGGCGACAACAGGATTCTTCTTATGAACATTATTTACATTATGTATCAACCAACTGCGAGTTGACAGAGAGCTTCTGTTGTTTTGTTTAAATACTTTTTAAGAATTGATGACCCGTAAGCTGTGTTTATGGGATTGATAACACAAGTTCAAGGACTAATTGTTATATTTACATTTACTGTCTTATGTTAGGAGGTTGTGTCCCTTTGATTTATAGTTTGGTCTTTGATTGATTTTGTCTTTCATTTGCTGTATGACAGTGTTTTACTTGAATAAAACAAGAAACTTTTCCGAACCTCCACATCCATTGTGTTGACGGATCTTTGTTTTTTTTTTCATCATAGGTTCAGGAGAAGGATGTGGAAAGATTATTCAAAGATTCCCCAAGAAGGACTGGGAGGGAACAGCCTTTCCTCAGGGTGTGGAGATGGTGAGTGACGATAGCACCCTCATACTGAACACAACTAACAACACTGTCTGTGGTTAATAATAATACAGTGAAGCTAAGTTTATTTTTAATAGACATGGGACTGTATCACTCATCTAAACACTGATGATACCCTTTTGTTACAGTCTTGCAAGTATGATGTTGCACATTTTCATGTTATTGATTGATTGTTGAGTTGTTCAACAGACTATGCTCGTGGCTCATAATGCACCATTTGAAGTAACAGACTGACCTGGACAGTAGGCAGGACAGTTAAGCACACATGGCCTGAGCCCTAGCCTTTTTGGAAAGTCATAACTTGCAAATTTGGCAGACTAGCAAATGTAAGTGTTTTGACCGTCAGCACAAAATACACAGAATTTCAATCACTGGAGGATTTATTTATTGTTTTTTTTATTCACGCAGTCCATGGTCCTTGCCCCAGGGACATTGGGCTGCAGAAAATTTAAATGAATGCTTTATCTTTAAAAACTGATATCACTGAGTGTAAACTAAACCACATATTAATATTTCAATATATTTATCACATTGTGCACTGTGTTCCATCAAAATCGTTTCCATTTATTTAAAAATCCATTACATTAATGTGTCTATAATCTTTACTCTGATACTGATGTTAGTAGAAACTTTGCAACAAATCTTGATACTGCATTCAGTTTTTAGTTGGATTTAGTTTCCGATTTTCCTACTGTCCTTCTTTATCACCCCCTTCATCAAGTAAGAA